AGCAGGCCAAGCAGCATCATAGGAGCAGAGAGGCTGACATTTCGCGCGGGAGCAGAGAGGCTGACATTTCGGGCCTAGCAGAGAGGCTGACATTTCGGGCCTAGACCCCGAAACGTCAGCCTCTCTGCTCCTATGATGCTGCTTGGCCTGCTGTGTTCATCCAGCCCTGCACCTTGTTGTTCAGGAAAACTGAGTCTGTTTCTTGCGACTTGCCTCAAATTTGGTGAGGCAGCAGAGAACAGTCCCGATTTTAATTTCCCTGCTCCTTCCCTAAACTGCTTTATGCAAATACCAGAAGGGAAGGTCCATTCTTTTCATTACTACTTCCAGATGAAAACAGGCAGCAAGCTATGTGTTTTGGGGTAAAGTTTAAACATTGCAGATGTGAACAGGGCCTAGTTGAGGGATTATCTCCTTTTACATTGGTTCCCATACCTTCACCAACAAGCATAGATTTTAAAAAAAAACACATATTGAACAGAGTTAGCAGTAGGGCCCAGGAGTAACATCTCCTTGTAAAAAAGATTAAGCTAGCTAGTAACAATCTAGAATCAATGAAAAAGACAAGACTGAAACTAAAAAAGGCATATGCATACAGATAACAGACAGGAGGATGAAGAAAGGGAATGTGAAAAAGGTAAGAGATAAGTCAACAAAAATGAAAAGTAAAACCATAAATTAAGTTGCCAAGGAATGTAATCATAATTAAAAGAAAGAAAAAGGATAATGCATTGGCGCCGAAGGGATATACATGGTAAACTGACAATTAATGATAGCACACGGTCCGTATTGCAGTGGGTGGGGAGCGGTGAAGGAGAAGATGACTGTTAATTAATAAAATTACCCAGAAGAATGTGAGGCCATAACTATAATAAAATTATTAATGAATCCAACTGGATAAGAAATTCAAGCGAAGCACCTTTTCCACTCAAAGTGGAATCTCGAGGTGTTGTTAAGGAAAGTAGCATTGATAGATGCAATGGGAAGTGGAATGAGCCTATCGGAGTGAAAGGAATAAATGGATACATTAATGCAGTTATTGGATGAAAAAGGTTGAGAGGAGGCAAGTGTGAAAATTGGATCAAATAGGTTAAATGACCCATTTCTGAGCTGTAAATACTTTTGATCAAAAAGCTCTCTGTCCGGGTCCAGGCAATGCCAGGGTTTTCTTTCTTTTTGGGAAGTTGTCTTTCCCTTACAATTTCCTGTGCCTCCACAGTGATGATGCCTCCCTATTCATTTTTTAAAAAAATATGTTTGGAAGATGTGTGCTTCACTTGCTGGGGCAGCATTTGTTGCCCAACCCCAACTGTCCTAGAAAAGATGGTGGTTATTCGTCTACATCGGCACACTCTTTCTTTAATTTTTATCATTGTCCAGGCTGATATTTCTCCATCTTCTCCAAATTTTACAACTTTTCCTCCTGTGAGGTCCGTCAGAATAGATAATAGATAAACCAGAGAAAGTGAAAAATGTCACTCACAAGCTGAGGATCACCAATGGGATGCCACTGGATCAGTCTTATGCTTTTGTATTATTTGGCTCATGGTGTGAAATAACTCGCATTGCAGAACCTATTCATAAAGAGCTTTAAAACAAAGCCAAAAAAGTGTTTGCAGCCTCATCAAAGACTTTAGCTTTCTGCTAAAAGATCTATATACTTTATATGATCTGCTAGTTAAGATGATGGAAGTCAGGATCTGAAAGTTGCAGTAATAAGACCATAAGAGATAGCAGCAGATGTAGTCCATTCAGCCAAATGAGTCTGCTCCACCATTCAACGAGACTATAACTGATTTGATAATGCTCAAATCCACGTATCCGCCTTTTCCCCATTATCCTTGAACTAGCACACATCTGAATAAGCAGCTGAAGATTTCCTCGGATCTGTTCCTGCCTTACTGTCAAAACATCCTCAAGATGGATCTGCGGTTAGCACTGCTGCCAGGGAAGCGGCTTCAATTCCAGCCTCGGACGACTGTATCTGTGTGGAGTTTGCAATATTCTCCACGTGGCTGCATGAGTTTCCTCCGG